ATGTATGTGTGTGTGTGTGTGTGTGTGTGTGTATACAAGCTTGTTTCACACTATTTTGTGGAAAACCACACTGGACAACTGATAAATGAAAACGTTGTTGGTGTTGTTGTGGGGCACAAGATTATTTTCAGCTGTGAGCAGGTAATTAAGCCATTTTTCACTGCAACATTAAAAAAAAATCGTAAAATGCTTTATTTACAGATTATAGTTATGCTAGTCTCAGGTGTGTATTGTGACTGTTTTGAGAGCCACTGGGAGTGTTAAGGCAAGAGTGGTGTTCGCTGCTATTTATCAATCCAGTAAAGAAGGCCATTCAGAACCACGGACAGCAGCCACAAGATCGAAACGTGAGCATGTGACCTGGAGGCAAAGATGAATGAAGGAGGACAGACAGGACTTATCAGTACTACAGCAGCATGATGGAAAGGTAGAAATAGTACAATGTTTATAGTACATAGTGCTCATGTTTTCAAGCAATTCTTGTTGCCGTCCAGCTTTGCAGACACTGTGAAGGATTGATTCAATCAGCCAATGACTGGTAAATTTCTTTTTTTTTTTTTTTTTTAGACCACAAGTATAAATTTTAATTTTAGAGCTGCCATAAATGATTTCATGTTTGATAGATTATTTTATGGTGCAATAATGTTCTGATGTTCTCTGAATGCTCTACAAAACTGACTGATAAAGTGAACTCAGACATTTGCAGAATTATTTTTTGGGATCCACAGTGCACAATAGAACCATTTTATTTGGTTGAGTGTGTCAACCTCTTTTTCTTCTGTCATTCGTTATACTTTTTGTAGTGACTTTTGTAGTAACAGTCAGAGCAGAGTCTGCATAACACTGAACACTTCATCTCCAGCTGCTTTTATGTAAGCTTGAAACATTTCAAACCTGCTACGTCTGACTTGTTTGAAAAATCAGACACCAAATCATGGGAATGTTTACGACAGGTTTATTTAAGGCACTGCCAGTCTTTCTAATTGGAAACTGATAGTGAGGCAGAAAAGGCACTGATAACTGATATATTTTTAAGCTCTTCATTTTTAAATTTTATGCCTGCAATGTATACAAAACAAATAAACAGACACAAATTAACTTGAGAAGATGAAGGTCAACATATCTACAAAATGTAAATGGTGAAAACTACTTTGTAATAAGTATGTATCTGCACAAGAGTAGAAAAAAATATATGGGTCGATTATAAGGGTCTATGTAAACATATATTTAATAAAAATGTCAAGTAGTGAAACCACCAGTTAATAAAAATGATTAATATATATAAATGTTATCAAAATAAGTAAATAAATGGAATATGGACATCATCATTAATTCCAAATAATTTCAGGTTATACCATTTGACATCTGACAACCTTTGCCACATCATAAAAAGGTCAAATTTGACTAAAATGCTATATGCTGGTTATACCACAGTGATTTGGATTTGGTGAACAAACGTTTTTCAAAGATTAATATTAGCTTCTTTTAAAAAAGTAAGTAAAAAGTAAGAATAAATAATTATACTATATAATTATATAATTTTTAAGAAATAATTATACACATTCATGTCAAATATTTTAAAATAAAATAGTTTTTTTAATGGTTACACCACCCTGACAGGTTTTATTTTAATATTCACAAACTAATATAAAAGTTAATTTTAATTCAGAATTTGAACACTGTCATCACAGAAGCCTTTTTAGGTCATTGTCTGTATAAACTGCATCAATATACAGTACTTTTAAATAACTTTAAAGGATAGTTCATCCAAAAATAAAAATTCTTTCATCATTTGCTTTCTTGATGGATGAAATCCACTGAGGTTTGTTCTTGCACGTCAAACACATGGTTGAGCTTCTACCATACTAATGAGCTTTATTTGTGTTGATCAGTGGTTTAACTGGGAATAAAAGCTTAAATTAATCTGTTTATCATATAAAGCAATCGTACCTCTTGAGAAGACAAAAATCATTAGAAAATATAAAAAATATATTTTAAATTCCAAAGATAAAAGGCGTATGGGACGACATAAGGGTGAGTAAATGATGACAGAATTTTCATTTTTGGATGAATTATACCTTTAATTCCAAAAAAAACTTGGGGGAAAAAAAAAAACAAGCAAACAAACAAAAAAATGCCACATCATTAACCCATATGTTATTTAACTTTGTATAAATATATACACATAAACCAGCATACATGTATATGCATATCCTTCAAGTTATATAATTAATATGTGTCAGTATTATAGAATATCCATCTTCAATCCATTACTGACCCAAGACAACAGAGATAGGCACCTTTAAGAATTCCTTAATTAGCATCGACCCATAATCAGACAAGCCTGCATGTGTTTGTCCATGATAACAGACACATTACAATGGCCTGTTCTGGATCCTCCCATGATCTGCAGTTATCTTTATTTAACTGATTGATGAAGGTAGATATGGCCTCATTTGATATCTTACAAAATATAAATCAATAAAATGGTGTGATTGTGCAAGGAAAGCAAAGAGCAGCTTATCACCGGAATTTAAACTTTGAAAAGCGTTTCTGTTCCATCTGAGAACAGCAGCAGTCTTTGGGGAGGGAATGCAGTGAGTGTAGACAAAGTCCCTTCATAGACATTTTCTTTTTTTTTGTAGTTAATAAACATACATGTACAGCTCCTAAATTTGACTGAATCAAGGAAAGATATTCATATTATGAATACAATTTGGATAAAAAGAGGATCAAATCCCATTAAAAATTATTTAGCAGTCTAATCAAGCCAATCCACATTTATGTTCTAGTGTAAAATGAAACTCAACTGGTTCCTGTTAAATCAAAAGTGCAAATTTCATTCCATCAGTTACTATATGGAGTGATGCAATTTCTTCGATTCATTTTCTACAAGTTGTCCTTTTCCTCCACCTTATATTGTCTATTGTGCAGTGACTGTGCTGGCCAGGAGGGCGGCGCTGTTCTCTGCGAATTCGTTTTGGTCTGTCAGTGCCTGGGGTAGTTTCAGAAACAGCAGGGAAATAGTTCAATTTTGCTGATTCTCGGAGTCCGTAAATGTTTTATTTTTAATTTCACGCAAGTGTCCTCACATCTCTGGCCTGGAAATGTCTGACAGGGTTTCCATGCTATTAGAGGCTAACCGTCGAGAGCTTTCCGCATCCACCGGTAAAACTGTTGCTGGAACAGGATGTGCCATTTTACATTCGCTTGAACGATCTCAATGGCTCGAGCGAACCCAGGTGCCGACTCTCCCCCGCTGGTCAGGATGAACTCTTTCAGCTGAGAAAAATAAGATAAACAACAGAAATGATTAACATTATCATTAACATTGTCATTGTATTGTGACTGATGTATCAGAGAGTTTGTGTGTTTATGTGTGTAAGTGGCACCTTCATCAGTGAAACCGTCAGAATATACGATGCATTTACATGCAAATTCCTGACATGTAATTTGGCAGGTAACAATGATGTTTATGATAATGAGGTGTGGGAATGCATTTGAAGTAAACAGAATTATTAGTGTTTTTGTTTTTCTGAGAGCAAACAACACTGCCTGTCAAAAAAAAACCCCAGCTAGATTCTAACATCAATTAACGGCATAAAAATCTAATCTAAAATCTCAATTTACCAAATAACATGTTACCAAGACAATTCCCAGTTCCAGAGGTCATGAGGATTACATGAATGAACATGCCCAGGGATTCAGGATTAAAGCTGCTCTTTTGCTCCTGAACTATTACAAAATTGCTGTTCGTTCAGAGAAAATTTTAAAAGAAAATAAAACGCTCGTTTCAAACCAACATTGATTGTTCATGAATCTGTGGATGAAGTGCTCTGGCAGCAGCTGATTGTCAGTGACAGTATGCTAATGCTCTGTTTAAGAAAACACTGAGGGGGTTCGTATTATCTCTGTATGAATGATAAATTGTGGAAGGCGAAGTCAGCTGGATGAGAAAGTGCTGCGCTGCAGTGAGAAGCATCAGCACTCTGTGTCCTCTGGGACTGAAGCTGAATGAATTTGAATAAGTGAATATACGTTCCATTTCCTGGAATAAGGTTAAGCAGCTACAATGAGGAAATATCCCAACGAAATGGTCCAGAGCACAATTCTGCAATCTTCAGAGTTTACTTTCTCTCACTTTCTCCATCTCAATAACTTGATGACCAAAGTTTGTTTGTAAGTATTATTGTTCCATGAAGATTCGTCAATAATTCATTACTCTTTTAGTTTGATTAGAGGTGCACAAGCCTCAGTATGATGTAAAAGTTCAGCCTCACCTCATTCAACTCGGCCTCAGTGTTGAGAAACTCTGTCACGCCGCTGATTAATTTTGAGTTCATAAATAAGGCCTCTCCATACCTGCCAATGAGAGACACTGTTATTAAAAGCACTGGAGCACCACTCTAATGAGCCCAGAAGCAAACAAACACCAACAGATATTTCCCATAATGCTCTCGGTCCTCCAAACACAAACAAGACACAAAATAACATTCACCAATAAATATCTTATGAGAGTGCGAATGTGAAATTCATATCAGGGACTGAGAGAGGAAGCTTAAAATCACCGATAAACAGAGATGAATAAAGCCGCATTCACCTGGAATTCAATATGTCCCACTTCTCGCGGAAATATCTCCACGATAAATGTCTTCCAAGCGGATTGCGGCCCACATGTATGATGACATCGATCACTTCCTGATCTGGCACCAGGTCAGAGGTGAGGGACAGATTCAGGAGCCTGTGGACATCAGAAATAAATAGGTTTCGTTAGTTTGTCATATTTGTTATATCTTTACTAATTATGCTTTTCGTAATACATTTTGTAATCCGTTTCAAGGTTGAGTAAATCAGAAATACAAAACACATTATTCTTCGCCGTTTTCAGCAAAGACAGCCGCTGACAGGCCTGGCGAAACACAATTATTCAAATATGTTTTCAAGACTTTGAGTCAGTATCTTCAAAAAGTAATTAACCTGAAAAGACCAAATCAAATGCAGAAAGAACCATTTGCTTCAAATTGGTGCAAAATGTCAAGTAGATGAAAAAGGGAGAAATGGGAAATAAGATGTTTCACATAAAGAAGCTGCCACGGAGCACAAGTTTCAATCTGCAAAAACGTGGGGTGATTGCTTCGCTGTTCATTGGTCTCTTATTTCAGTTGAACCGCTTTTCTGGGCTTTTGCCTTTATGCGTCGCCGAGTCACTTGTAGCACCTTTTTTTGGTGAACACCCTGGAGATTTTTGCCACTGTGACAAAGCATCTCCAGCTTCCTCTAAGGACAAGTGCGAACAAGCTTTCAGACAAGTTTCTTTTTCTAAGTTTGCACTTAGAAATTCTGATTTTGGACTTGTGTAATTGATTTCTAGCAAGTATAATTGTGACCGTGTGAAAACGTCGGGCGTTGCCAGCATAGCTTGCCATTTTGTTTTGTTCATGACTGATAATGCCACCATAAACTTTAGCATGTTCAGATTAGCATACTAGCATATTATTGACTTCAGTATATAGAATGTACACTGTGCACAATATGTATGTTTTCTATATGTGAAGGATAACTACTCTATTGACCACAATATGGTATACAACCAGAGCAGCATGGAATTCTCTGTCCTACAATGCAAAGCACTTGACCTGAACTTCAATTTCCAGTGTGATGAATGAACAGGAAGTGATTACAGTGGTGATTTGTTTTCCTTTTACTGAGATTTCAGTCTATAAGGCAGCAGGAACATCTGTAGGTTAGCAGTCAGAGTGGAAGTGTGATCAGCTAAAACACACACATTCCAGTAGTGGAGAGGAATTTTTTTTCGGCCCACTGGATCACAACATATATCATCGAAAGAAGTACAAACACAGAGGAGGAAGATACAATTTACTTCATGCTATAGAAATCAATACTAAACACAGACTCCATACACCCCATCCTTCACTCCAAACACAGGGCAGTTTTCTCTGTGGTAGATTAAATATCACAAACACACACATTCACACACACACACACAGCTCAAGGCTTTGCTTGTGCATGCTGTGTGAAATTCAAGTGTGGCTGAAATCAATGGACTGCTTCTAGCCCTCTACCGCACGCATTATGATAGACCTATAGAAAAAAATATTTGAATCTTTTTATTTTCTAAGAATGACTTAACTTGAAGTGCTGTAAAAAAAAATGTTGGGAAAAAAAGTCGAGTCTAGTCACAGTTGATCGTCATGAACCAGGTCAAGTCACAGTTGTTCTTCAGGAGTCAAGTCAGGTCACCGCTGATCTTCCTGAATTCAGTCAAGTCACAGTTGATCATCATGAGTCAGGTCTAGTCACAGTTGATTGTCATGAGTGAGGTCAAGTTACAGTTCATAATCATGAGTCTAGTCAGGTCACAACAGATCTTCATGAGTCAGGTCTAGTCACAGTTGATCCCTCTGAGTCAAGTCTGGTCACAGTTGATCGTCATGAGTCAAGTTTAGTCACAGCTGATTTTCATGAGTCTAGTCAAGTCACAACTGATCGCCCTGAGTCAAGTCTAGTCACAACTGATCGTCATGAGTCAAGTCTAGTCACAATCAGAAATGTTGTTTGTGTTGATTCAATTGGTGTTATTATAAGCTTTAACACAGAACTTATAATTTACACCTTATACATACTTTCCAACAACTTGTGCTTTTATTTATTCTATTCTTTTTTTGCTGAATAATGATTTATAATTGTTTTAATTTCATTACATTTTTCATGAATATTATTTAAACTGCAAATTTATACAGTTAAAACAAATATAATACTGTATATAATGTATCATAAAACACTGACAAAAAACCAAAAACATTGCAGTTCATGAAAATTCAGCATTATGCAATCTCTTGAGAGGAAGACTTTGAACTTGAACTCAAGTAATCCTTGAAAGATCACCTTTTTTATGTATGAAACCTCACAAAGCAGTTTTTTCGTGTGCAGGAAGAGCAAGTTCTGCCCTTTTCTTCTTTACCTTGCCATAGAATATGGCCGTGCTCACTGATGTAATGTTACCAGTATTCATATTTAATCAAAAGTAAAATTGCCATTTCAATGTGATTATATCCATAATACAAATGCCATTAACATACGACTAATCTACATTATTTCACTAGTATTAATGTTGTTATTGTTACAGCTTAACAAATTGCAGCTGACCTTGCTAGCTAGCTAAACTATTGTAATAATGTCATTCCACTATTGCACAGTGTTGCCGCTTGGCAACACATACATTTGAATGATTTACCAAAACCTAATTTCATAAAAACTTTTTTGAGAGGTGAATATGTCATCATAACATCATAACAGTGATGTTTTAGATTTTTTTGTAGAAGTGACACGGACTGGTCCTTGTTTGTTACTGACGTTTTAGTTTGCTTTCAGCAACTACCGACAAGAGACGGCAGTCTGTCAGAAATCTCACCACAGAAAAAAAACTGCATGTCATGTGACTTAATCAAAGCACATCATTGGCTAAACTAAGGTCTTCTCTTTCCAACAAAAAAAAAACGAGAATGTTCTCTTAAAGAGACAGTGGCAAGGAAATGAACACAAAGAATATGTTGCCATATGGCTACACCATGCGGCAGAGGGCTAGAGGTCTTCTCCAGTCTTTTACATCAGACAGTAGAGCAAAGGTAGACGCCTGAATGTTGCAGTCCTGAAATATTTCAAATTTCCCTAGTCTTTGGGTTCCTGGGGGGGCTCTGAATGAACCGACACCAGCATCACTTCAAATACAGGCAGATACCTGATAGATTGTGTGGTTTTATACTTAAAACAGCATCTGACATGTTGTTATGGTCATTCTGAAATGCCTGAGCAAAGTCTATCATCAAAGTATTTCTGTATAAGAACTGTCTCCCAGAACTGTCTTACAAGACTGCGTTCTCAAACAGCAGGTATTCATCTCCAAAAGCAATGACCACATTTATTGTGTTTTGTCTGCTCACTCTGAGGCGCAAGTAATTTATTGTATATGAAAATGATTGGCTTTTCCTTCTTTTCTTAGTTATATTTAGTGCCAGTTTATCAAGAAGTGACGATTTTGTTCCTCTTTTGGTTGTTGGATGGAAACGTTGCTTATTCACAAATGTTTATGCGATATTACAATTTTGCACACAAGTTAAATTTGCAACTTTGGATGGAAACCCAGCTAATGATTCCAAGGTGTGTTTTAGAACTACCAGCCAAGATGTTCTTGCAGCTTTAACCAGGTTGGCCACACTGGCTGTTAGTCCAGCTTATTAACCACTAAAAAGCTTGATCCAGCTAATGGCAATAATTGATCTGCTTCACTCACTAAGAAACAGAGGCGGACAAAGTACACAACTGCATTACTTGAGTGAAAGTACAGATACTACTGGTCAAATACTACTCCACTACAAGTGAAAGTTGTAAAGACAGGTTTTTAACTTAAGTAAAAGTACGAAAGTACATGCTTTTAAAAGTACTTAAGTATCAAAAGTAAAAAGTAAATGCATTGTTTTATTGTCACATTGTATACTTACAATACCTTATGCCACTAATGCAACCTACTGAATACACTGATTAGCTTGTATTATCTTTGGAATTAAGAGCTTTTATGTTACCAAACCTATAGAAATGGAACAACTGAATGAAGATAATCAACTTTATTTTTTATTTAACACTCCTACAGCTACATTGAACTCATTTTAATACTTGTTTAAAAGTTACAAAGTTATTTTTCAAAGAGATATTGAAGGCTATGATATGGTTCATTTTAGGCAAACCAAGCAAACATTGAAAAGAAAACAAATCTTTAGTCTTTTCAGAATACTGGAACACACTCTCCCATGGGTGTACAAGTTGTGCCAAAGAACCATCTTTTTGAATTTTGCCATCAACTGATCAGTGTTCATAAAATGCTCACAAATCAGTGAACGTCACAACATGTGGCTAGGGTTTGGTATTGTTTTCATTTTATCCATTCCGATTCTGCTTCTTGATTTCAATTCTTATCGATTCCCAGTTTAGATTCCAAAGTTGTAAAAAAGTGAAGTAAAACATTTTGACCTGTCTGATCATTTAACCTACTTATTGATCATTTCTTTGCAAAAAAATATATATATGTATATATATGTATTTATATGCAGTGTTTTGACAATAAAATAATGTTCAGATTTATATTCTTCCTTGACCAGTTTTTAGCAGCATTTTACCAGTAGGCCTGAGTAGTAAGGTTTTTTATAAATGGTAATAGCAGCCATTTTTGACTGATATATTAGCCTACCATTTGTATTGCCATAGTTTAACTACAAATATTAAACTATAGTTACTATAATGAAACTATGTTAAATTTGTGGTTACTGTAGTTTTACTACAAATAGCATAATTATGGTTACTATAGTGAGAGAAGAGTACATTTGTGGATACTGTGATTTTACCGCAAATACCATAGTTAAACTAGTTACTATAGTAAAAACATGGTTAATTTAATGAGTTAACACATACACATGCGAGTTCACACAGAATAAAAACTATACATTTTCTCTGTCATGCAGATCAAGGTGTAGGTAATTTCATTTATCTTCTATGATCTTTGATCGTAGCGCTCGGCCTACGTAAGCCATCACATACAGTTGTCTATTTAAAATCAATGTGGTGAGCACACAGATGATCACACCACACTAATATGTGCCTTTTTCGTCTTTTATTATCTTATTTGCCTTTTTAGAGCACTTTTAGCTGTGCAGTAGCGCAGACGTTTACATTAGTTTAGCGGGGAATGTCCCGAGGTTGCCAGATTTGCATAAACAATCATCCAAATATGCATTCAAAGCTAGGTGGAAAACTGCAGGCTTAGAAATACTGCAAGACTTGGCAACACTGGAAGGTCCTGGCAGATCGCAGGCCGGATTTTCGTAGAAAAAAGGGTTCAGTGAATCTGAATATGCACACACTGGAAAAACTGCTACATATAACGACTTTCTACTTGAGGACCTAAAAATGAAGAGGCATGGGCGTCGTTAGGTCATTTTTAGGGGGCTATAAATAAAATGACTACTTGGCCCCCCTAAAATCTTGCGATTAGCTCCATAAACTGTACGCGAATTCGTGATCGCCTCCGTCCCCTTTAAATTTCATATGAAAACGGCGGCAGACTTCGATTGGCTCCTCCCCGTCTTTCAGCGCGTTCTTTTTTCAAACCGCAGACCGCGGCGGTGCAGAGCTCGATAGATTGTTATAATATCTGCATCTGTGCAGTTCTTTGTCAAATCCAGTTTACAC